TGCACTGTCATTCATGCATGTCATCAGAGCAGCTCTGGGTACATGTGAAAACCTAAAATAGTAGTTTCCATGGGACAAAAACAAATGAATAAAAATAAAGACAGGCTGGAGATCTCATTTTTAAAGAAAAATATATACTGCAGAGTAGGAGTGTGTCATGCACAATACACAAAATACAACTAATTCAGAACTCCGCCGCCCAGGTTCTCACCCGCACAAAACTCCATACCCCCATCATACCTCAACCCCTCTGCCTTGCCCTCTCCCTCTCCATTTTCAAATCCTGCCTAAAGACCTTCCTTTTGATTGTGCTTACTCCCCCCTCCCTCTCACTCTGGCTCAGGGTCAGACCCTGTCACTGTCAAGCACTTCAGGACGCTACCCCGCGTGAAAGGCGCTATATAAATGCAAGTTGTTGTTGTGTCAGCACTCTCAGTAGCACTCTCTCATCTTGACTCAGACGTTTGTGGGTTCACGCCCCAATCTGGAATTTTTAGCTAATAGTGCACAGTGCAGTGCAGTGCTGGAGACATTAAACCGAGATCACCTCTGCCTGTTCAGGTGGCATGATCTCATGGCACTGTTCAAAAACAGAAGAGAGTTTCTCCCCTCCCCGAATAAAATGTGCTCATTTTCTATGAAACCGATTAATGGACACTGCTGTGTGTGTCCTCCTGACGTGAATCGTGCTATATAAATGCAATTTGTTGTGTGCACATTGGCTTTCGCAATCACCTACAAATACTGAGTCACTACATTTCACAATAAAATTAACAGTTGTGTTTCAACATGAGATTAGTTTTACAATATTACCTGTGAAATGATACAGTAAAGCACTTTGAGACACTTTGACGATGTGATGAGGCGCTATGTCAAAAGCAAGGATTATTATCATCATCTTCACACTACCTCGAGTAATCACCTCATTAAAATCAACAACTGTGAAGGGATCAGTATTGGGTCCTAATATGGTAGGTAAGCAGATACAAAAATCCAGCAGAACAGCGCATGAAATAACAACTGTTATGATTATCCATATTACTGCTCTAGAGTATACAACAACTTGCACTTATATAGCGCCCTCCACGCAGGGTAGCGAGCGTCTCAGAGCGCTTAACAGTGGCGGAACCTGATTCCAAGCCGGTGGGGGTTTGGGGGGAGGTGACTGTAAGCACGGTCAATAAAAATGAATATGGAGAAGTTCTATATCACACTGTAACGCTTTGTTGTATTGGCAGTTATGTACTGTTCATAATCCTCACTCATTATCTTTCCCTCTGTCCAGCAAACACTGGCCTGCTTCATGTCCCCCGCCTGATAACACCCCAGCATCAATGGTCAAGCATTCAGCCCCTACTCTCCTGAACTCCATCCCAAAGTCCCTCTGCTTTGCCACTTCCCTCCCCAGTTTTAGAGCGCACCTTGATACCGACGTTTTTTTTTACTGTGCTTTCAGTCATTTTCCTCCCCACCACACGCTTAGGAGCCCAAACAGCTATGTAAGATACTTCGAGACATACTCCCAACATGAAAGGCTTGTTAAACTTACATTTTTTTTACAGTATTTTTCAAACAGATAATTATGGTTGCAATTAAAGTCCCAACAGTTAAATCAGATATTTATTTTAGGAAAAGTAGCACCATTGCTTCTGAAGAAAACTTTTGTGAAATCAAAATTGTCTTCATAAATAAAAATACAAACGTCGTTAAATTTGTTAAGTCCAAACCATATTGCTTTTCCACCATGAATTGAAACATAAATATTCTGTATCAGCGTTAAAAAAAAGTGCAATGTCAAGTCTTTGCCATTAGTGCAGTCTACTTCCAAGCAAATGTTATTGTTGGCATGGGAACTATTGCTTTACAATGCAAAACTGTTTCTTAGAGTCCAATGTATGCAGAATAGTTCAAAGATCATTCTGTGTCACATGTTAAAAATTAAAAGGATCGAATTCACTGAATTAATGCAGTGACAGGTTTGTTCTGAAGTGCGTGAAGACCGACACCCTTGTTGTGGCAATCCCGATCAATGCTGTGGCACACTGCCACCGTTGCTATGGGAAAATGTTATCCCCGGTGGCAGTAATGGCATCTGTGTTTTTTTTCCAGCTGAAATTAGAATCTGTAACAGGCGAAGGTTTTTTATACCCCCACAACCCGTCTTTCACGTCGGTAGGCCATCTTAAAGAGGTTTGCAGGATTTTACTGTAAAGTGCAATGACTGTGTATTTTGCAGACAACCAATTCACACATATCAAGGCTCCACTATCCGGCATAAAGTGGGGATTGTAGGCCAGGACACTGGGAGAAACTTACTTGTCTTTTCAAATAGTCCCCAGAGGATCTTGAACACCCACCTGAACAGGTAAATGGAATGGAACTCAGTTTAATTTCTCGTACAGAAGATGGCATCTCCAACATTGCAGCACATCAGCACTGTATTGGAGTATCAGCCTAAGTGAGTTTAAAGTCCCAATGATTGAACACACGATTGGGTTTAAAGTGAAAGAGGCAGTAGCTTTAATAGGCCAAAGTGCTGTAAATTTCCATGATTTGATTGAAACAGATTTATTATTTGGGAAAAGAGTTGAGTAATTCATTGTAATTTCACCCATGAGCAACCTGTCACCATTGAATGCTGTATTAATAATTGATCTGCTGCACACATTGGGTACAGATCTTTAAAACAATATTGAATTATTTTTGTTAGGCGAGTGAAGAAATTAATATTGGGATCAGAATTGTTTAACAATGTACGGTTGTGTTACAACATGAGATTAGTTTTACAATATTACCTCTTTAGCCTTACCAGAGTAACACAATTTTCACATCAATGTGGAGAAATTGCACCTGGGATTTATTCTATTCATGTGACATTTCAGAGCTGCCAGAATTTGGCAAATTCTTAAACACAGCCTTCAGTTTGAAGGTAAATTGAATTAGAAAAAGGTTAAGAGCTACAGAAAACTTTTTTCAAGATTAAGATTAAAGCTAAGATTAAATTCAACAATTTTCCAAATTCTGGATATAACACTACTAGTACTACCAATAATAATCCTTGCATTTGATACAGTGCCTTCTCACATCATCGAGACGTCCCAAAACGCTTCACAGAATCTACTGTAAAATGAATTGACCATATAGTTTTGTGGGCAAAACGCAGCAGCCAATCGCACACAAACAGTTGCGATCAAATTATTATCACTATTTATTTTTGCAGGGATTATTACTGCTGGAAATTGAACTAATAACCGGGTTCCTACTTACTGCTAGGTTTACAGAAACGTTTGGGCAGTTAATGACTAAGCAGTATTAATAAAACAGAGAGCTCGGAAAGTTTGCAAAGAAGATGAAGTTTGAAGCCAATAATGTGCAAAAAACTATCCAGCAATCCATTTTTTTTCTCTCCTGATTATGAGAGCTGATTTAAAAAGAACTCTCTCTCCATACTATATATGCAGCGCGGTGTTCAAGACTAGTTTGTCGTAAATTAGAAGCTGTTGAAGTGAAAAGAAATATCTGGCATGAAAAGCATGCTTCTTGCAGGCAGCTTTAGTAGTGGAGGAGGTGTGAGAGTTTTATTTGAGATCAAAGGAGATGCAGAATACAGAATATAAAGAGAAGGATTAAGAGTGGAGCCTTCAAAGGTAAGTGATATATATGGAAGCGGCTGGTTATAACTGCAGGAGTCATGAAGAAACTGTGTTTGAAGAGTTCAAAGAAATAAGATTATCATTGCCCCATTGAAGGGTATTAAGAACAATAGCCTTTGTGTGTCAGCCTGGCTCAGTCAGTAGCACTCTCGCCTCAGAGTCAGAAGGTTGTGGGTTCAAGCCCCATGTCTGGACTTACATAGTTTAGGCCGGCATTCCAATGCAGTGATGGGTATGTGCTGGATTGTTTGAAGTGCCATCCTTCAGATGAGACATTAAACCGAGGTCCCTTCTGCCAATTCAGGTGGAATTTAAAGATGCAGAGCATTAGAGAGCATACCAAACAGAATCAGAATATAGCATCGGTCGTACGTAAGAGGCTTCTTCACAAATATAGCGATAACATACAATGCCAGATCATGTTCGGAGTCCTGTAGCTCAGTGGTTAGAGCACTCGCTTTGCAAGCGAGAGACCTGAGTTCAATTCCAGGCAGGGCGAAACCTTGGGCAAGTTTCCTTACTCCACACGCCTAATAATAATCCCTCCAAAAAAAAAAATAATAAAAAATTGGTCACTTTCAATCCATGACTGTTTCTGGGACATTGCTGTGCGCAATTGGCTGCCGCGTTCCCCTACAAATATACAGTCAATTCACTTTACAGTATATTCTGTGAAGCGCTTTGGGACGTCCTCCCGACATGAAAAGCGCTATATCAAATGCAAGGATTATTATTATTATTATTATGTTATAGGCTATTAAAGACATTGAAAGCAATAATTCCACAGCTATGAAATATAGGCAAGACCAACCATACTGAAAGCTATATTGCTGATCATAGTTTGGACCAGAGCTTTCAAGGTGAAAATCTGAGACAGCTTCCATACAGCAACAACAACTTGCATTTATATAGCATGTCTCACACAGGGAAGCGTCCCAAAGCGCTTGAAAGGGCTCAGCAATTTGCTATCTTGGATTTTCTCTTACATTCGAGATTCAATAGCAATCCTGTTTTTCTGTTTGTATGCAAATCGCTAAGCAACTATAGTAAATGAACGTTGATTTTACAAACAGTTTTGGAACAAACAAATTACACGCTTTAGCAGATTAATTAATCAAACTTTAATTTTTATGCATATTCCACAGTGCTTATTACATATCTGTAGGCATTCCAACTCACTCATGCAAAACATTCTGTTAATGTAACATTTACATGAACATTAGAATTTACTATGACTCCTCAACCTAATTTATGCATTGCCTTTACATCAGGTTAGATTGTTAATGCTGACAAGGTTGCACAGCACAACACACGGGAATGAAGGAAATAAGCATTTTACAAAACTGCTGAATTCTTTAGGTATTTTATTAAGTTGAACAGATACCAATTTATTTTTTCCCCCTTGCCAGGCTGTTATGTCCTAGCTGTGCTCTTAACCACACGTCACAAAATCTGCACCAGATAATGAATGCAGAGTCAGCAGCGTTGAACTACAGAGAGCAGATTTGCATAGTTTGGGATTTCTGTAAAGAAAAACAAAAAAAGCTCGAGAAGATTGTTCAAGAAGCATCTGAACAGAAACAACAGTCTAAAGATGTTGCACAGTCTTTAGAATATCTTATGAACAAAGAATCTGATGTGGAATTATTGTCACAGAGGCAAACACTCAAACAACTGGATAATTGGATGTCCCGTTCCCTTCAAGCATCTGATTCAATTGATTTTCTTACGCCTAAGGTGTTCACACAATGGAAAGAGACGAGAGTACAGAATGTAGTCCCACCGGCATTCTGGTGCATTTCAAGTCTCGAAGAAGATGAGCCCATTATCTCGAGAAGATGGACAGCTCGAGCTGCAAACTACACTGCTCTTTTCTCCAACAGGGTAGATCAACAGTTTGGCAGTTGTGGCAAAGATGAGGGTCTTTTCAGATGCCCGACGGGGGTTGCAGTAGTTCATGATGGCTTTATGTTGTGACAGACACAAAAACTCACTCGGTTCAAGCTATAGACTGTTCGGGCAGATTTTACACCTATTTTAACAAGATGCAATGGTCAAATTTTAAAAGACCATACAGTCCAACTGGTATAGCAATTATTAACCTTGGCTATTTAGTCCTTGTTGTTGAGTGTAATGAGCAGCAGGTTTATGTGTATTCTAGGAATGAACAGTTGCTTTTCCATTTAAAGTTGGACTGGGAATCTCCATTTGGTGGTGCTGTAAATTCAAAAGGGACAGATTCTAGTGACAGGCAATTGTGGACTAAGAGATCTTTATATTATGATCATTGACTGGACCAGTGGCAAAATCTTACATTTGCAGATAGTGAGAGATCTAATGATCCAAGTTTCTTGTCATGCACTCAAGATGATAGCATTGTTGTCACAACCAATAATAGGGTCAAGTTATTTGGCATTAACGGTACACTGCTGTGGAGCGCAGGTCCAGAATTCGTGAGTAATCAAACAATTCAACAACCAATGGGTGTTTGTGTGGATGGAGATAATCATATCCTGGTATCTGATATACAGCAAACAAAGTGGTACTTCTAAATATACAGCGACAATGGCTAATTGATGTCATGACAATAGGACTGGGCGGACCACAAGGTCTGGCTTTGACACCAGATGGAGAATTGGTGATAGCAGATAGCAATAACCAATGCATCAAGTTATGCAAATATAAAATCAGAAAGCATTCACACTTCTAGAGAGATAACCAGAGGCAGGTAATAGGTAAATAATCAACCTTGAAAACCTCAGAGTAATAGCCATTAGCTGCAGATCTTTACAGTTAATCATTCTTGTTCGAAGCATTTTCTCCTGCCTACAAACCTAATTTATATTCCAGGGATCTACAAATCCAGTGTTTCAAAATATAGTCTAAAACGTCTAAAATGAATTTAGAAAATTGACAAGAATGGCTTACAGCTATTAGAGATCATAACATGAGAAAACGTGTGGATATCAAAATGAATTTCTCCAAGAAAAAGTTAATAGTGTTAAATAAACAAACCTGTAAAGATGGCTGGAAAATGAGCACAAGAAAACAAGGCTATGTTGTAAGTATTACAACTGTTCAGGAAAAAAACAATTAATCCACAAAAACATGATGACTGTAGATGGACATCAAGTTTCAAGCATATGTTACAAACAATTGCTGCCCAATACTCAGACTTAACGAACACAACAGAGCCAAAAATGTGATATTTATAAACAGAATTTGTTAATTGTAAGTTGCAGTTTGCGATTCATGAATTGTTTGAGATGTGAAACCCCTCTCAAAATTTATTTCCTTTTGTCAAAAAACATTTCCTTTTCTCTGCAGAAAAGCAGCCCCCTGAAAGCAAATTGCAGGTGGCTTTTTGTTCAGGCAGGAAAGGCCCAGATTTAAGTCCAGAAAGCAAAGCCCTTTCGTCAACCTTTACTGATTATCTGCATTTAAAAGTTGGAGGATTTTCATTACATCTGAAACTGAAAAACGGAAGTTGCAATTATTGTAATGCATCCAATTTGACAATATCGTACTGCGTTTTGAAAATTCTATATCTTTCCCAAAATAATTTGAGTGCTATGCATCAGCCATTTTTCCTATGCTCAGCCGTTTCCCAACTACTGAACAAATATATCAATGGGCGATTTGAAACGATTCCCTGCTTTGCCGAAAGCTCCAAAGTTGGTTGTCATAAGTTAGAAGATTTGACAAGTACATCATTGTTCATAGTTTTGTGCTCACAGAAATGTAATGGCTAAATCTGTTAGAGCAATGTTAGGAATGCAGAGGTTATACTGCTTCAGCAATTATCTGATAAGAACCTCTATTGTGGAACAAAGGATGGACAGCAATCACGCTACTCAAAATAATATTGAACGAAGATGACAAGAAGAGTTTTTTTTAATTAAATCATTTAATTTTAAACCAGCAAAAATTATCAAAATGACTTATATACCAACATAATTCCCAAATGACATAAAGGAAATTATTTACCTGCATTTTTTTCAGGTAACATACAGCAATGCTTCTTCAGAATGCCAGGTAGTGCCTGTTTCGAGTAACACAAGATAACAGCATTCATGTAATTTCCATGTTAAAGTTGGCTATCACACTATAATCAGTCAAACTGTTAATTAAAATGTGCTCAATCTTTCTTACAATTAGGATAAACTCAGACCTGCTTCACATTTTAAATCTTATGCTTAAGTGCACTTAGCGTTAGTCTGGTTTATTTGGTAGAACTCTCACCTCAGATTATTGTGTCAGATTATTGTGGTTCTAAGGTCCACTTTGGGACTAATAGGAGTAATCTAACTACCTTAGGAGTAATCTAACTACCTTCACTCTGTGTTACAGGTTGGCATTCCCAGCCTTTAGTGAGCGCGTTTATTTCACTTGTCTACACTTTATTGAATCAAAGTTGGAGCAAATCCTGAGAAATGTAATACACTGTCTGCCTACTACAGAGCACTCGCTTTGAAAGCGAGAGACCTGAGTTCAATTCCAGGCAGGGCGAAACCTTGGGCAAGTTTCCTTAATCCACATGCCTAATAATAATCCCTCCATAACCCAAAACAATAATAAATTGGTCATTTTCAATCTACGACTGTTTGTGGGACATTGCTGTGCGCAATTGGCTGCTGCTTCGCCCACAAATATACAGTCAATTCACTTTACAGTGTGTTCTGTGAAGCGCTTTGGGACGTCCTCCCGACGTGAAAAGCGCTATATCAAATGCAAGGATTATTATTATTATTATATTGCTGTGGAGTCCTGTAGTTTAGCACAGTCTTAGCACAATGAGAGTGAGTTTTCTCAGCCTGGACTGATATGGATAATAGAGAGACGTGTGCTTGTTTGGATTTTAAGATTATTTCAGCACGTCTCATTTGGACTTTAATTCCTTCAACCTGTGGGTGTGTGTATGTGAGTTTTAAGCATTTATTTTTAATTTATTTTAAATGTCGAGTTCAAAACATTCATGACTTCATGTGGAGTCCTCCAGCTTAGTGGTGAGAGAACTCGCAAGTGAGAAACCTGAGTTCAATTCCTGGGCAGGGTGAAACGTTGGGCATATTTCCTTACTCCACACACCTCTGTTTACCTAGCAGTAAGTAGGAACCCAGTTGTTAGTCAATTGGTGGATTACTTTTCCGGGGTTAATAATCCCTTTAAAAAAATGTTTAATAATAATTTGATCAGTCAATCCACGATTGTTTGTGGAACACTGCTGTGCACAATTGGCTGCCGCGTTTCGCCCATAAAATATAGTCAATTTATTTTAGCGGGGGGGACGGGGGACGGAGGAGTCGGGATGTGGTGGAGAACAGAAACCTGGAGTTGTTCTTCATCTCCAGGATTATCCTGGAGTAGAAGGACGACTTGGCCGAGGCTAGAGTGGAGCGGTAAATTTTGAGGAGGTCCAGCCAGATTTGTCGGTGGACCGTTAGGCCAGATTTGAGGCAGGTGCGTTCAGCGGCCCACATCTGGCTCTTCAGTGAGCGGAGGTGGGTGGTGAACCAGGGGGAGGAGCGAGAGTAAGAGACAGTACGGGAGGTGATGGGGGCAAGAGTGTCGAGTGTGGAGGAGAGGGTGTTGTGGAGGAGGGTGAGAGCAGAAGAGGGGTCAGTGAGGGTTGAAGGCCAGAGGGAGAGGAGTTCAGAGGACTCCAAGGCAGCGGTTAGGGATTGTGGGGGTAACCTCTTCCAGGGGCAGTAGAAGATGGTGGTGGGTCTGGTGGAGGTGGGGAGGGGGTGGAGGTGGTGAAGGAGATGAAGTGGTGATCGGAGACAGCCTTATCGGTAATGGTGACATCCGAGACACTGAGGCCCCGGGTGATCACCAAATCCAGTGGGTGGCCGTGAATGTGAGTGGCAGAGTTGATGTGGAGGGAGAGGTTGAGCGAGGAGAGCAGGGAGGAGAAGTCCGAGGAGATGGAGCAGGAGGGGGTGAAGTGCAGGTTGAAGTTTCCCAGGATGATGAGGTGATCAGAGTAGAGGCAGAGAGATGTTAGGAGGGTAGAAATCGGAGATAAAGGTGGGAGAGGTTTCAGGGGGCCGGTAGAGAAGGAGAATTTTGAGTGAGAGGTGGGAGGGGTGGGAGAGGGTGAGGTGCTCAAAAGAGGGGAAAGAGCCAGAGGAGTAGGGGGATAGGGCAAGTGGTGTCCTTGAGATACGGGCTACACCACCGCCACGGCGGTTGGGGCGAGGGATATAGTGGGAGGTGTAGCCGGGTGGTGTGGCCTCCGTGCGGTGAAAGGTGTCGCTTGGGGTGAGCCAGGTTTCCGTTAAGGCCATGGTGTCAACACTCTCATCAAGGATGAGATCGTTGATGACCAGGGCCTTGTTACAGAGGGAGCGGACGTTTTGTAGTCCGATGTGGAGGGAGCGGTTGACAGAATGGTGTGTGGGGAGGGAGGGGGTTCCAGGTTGTGAGGCAGGGGTGGGGGCGATAGGGATGAGGGAGGAGAGGTTGGCTCCCCGGGTTTGTGTCCGGGGTGGCTGGCGAGTGTGGTGGGGAATGGGGAAGTCGATGTGGCTGCTGCTGGACAGCCAACGCCGAGTGCCACGGTGAGCCCGGCGGAGGATTCCCAGGCTGGAACAGAGGGAGGTTGTGGGAGGGTCAAGTGGGGATAGAAGGCGAGGGGCACGGAGAGAGAGGAGGACAGAGCGGGAGAGATGCAGAGGGGTGAGGGTTTGGGGGGAGGGAGGAGGGAGGGAGTGGGTGAGGGGGTGAGGGTCAGAGCGGCAGCCATAGTGCGCACGCGGGGACCGGGAGCGAGCGGTCAGGTGGAGGACATTAGCCCATAGGCTGGGGCTTGGGCAGCCAACCCAACAGGAGCATAATGTTCCCTGGTGCGAGCCCTGGGGAGGCGCGGAGGATTTTTTTTGATATCTAACTCAATGATTTATTATTTGATCATTATTTAAAACAAATGGAGATCTGCTCAACTGCACTTTATTCAGCTACTGAAGAAAAGAAAAATGTTTTATTGTGTTCAAAAATGGCATTGTAGAATGCCACAGGAACAATGGCTAAGATTTCCATTTTGGGGGCAATTTTCCAACATCGCTTTGAAGATACAAATTATGTAAACTAGCAATACTTGACATATAACACGAATATTCTGCAGGAAAAAGACTACAGTTATAAACCATTGCACACAAATTGGTTGAACTTCATTTTGGTACATCTTCTTTAATTCCTTAAAGTGGCTATTTTAAAAATATGAGAAAAATTATATTTTCATTCCACCCCAGTCCTCTTCACTCGGTGACCCACTCCCCCTAGTATAATGTCGCTGCTCACACATAAATAAAGACTCACAGATAAATGTCCTGTGTCTATTGTCCAGTGACTATTGAAACAAACCCAGGTCAAATGAAAAAGTCAGAGTTAACTGCCTTCAGGTGAGAACAAACAAATTGGTGGGAAAAATACATTCCATGAAAGCCTTCTCAGATAATAATGGGAAAAGTTTATTGCACTACAACAACAATATTAAATCTTTTTTTCACCTGTGTCAAAATGATACACATTTACATCACAGTGTAAATCACAATCAGCTCATAGAATTGCTCAGAATTAACAAACCAACAAACCTTGAACACAGATTTGGAGACAATTCTAGATGGTGCATTGCTGGACTATCACTCCCAAATCAACATATCCTCAGCTGTTCACAAACAGAGCGGAAAACACAAGCTAAAAATAAATCACAGCTAAAAATTAGACCAGCATGCTTTCCTTCAAATAATATTTGACAAATATAATAATAATAATCCTTGGATTTGATATAGCACCTTATCACGCCGTCCAAACGTCTCAATAATGTAGCAGCCAATTTACACACAGCAATATCCCACAGTCATGATGTGAATGACCAATTATATATCCAACTTTATTTCTGAGAATAATAATTCCGTTTCCTAGAAAAAAAATGGTCATTCAATCCACGACGGTTTGTGATACACTGATGTGTACAATTGGCTGCTGCATTTCGCCCTTAAAATACAGTCAATCCACTATATTTTGTGAAGCGCTTTGAGACGTCTCAACAACGTTAGAAGCGCTATATCAAATGCAAGGATTATTATTATCTGGGGAATTGTTGGTCAGGATACCAGGAGAAATTCCCTTCTCTTTCCAATAGTTTCCTACGATGTACACAGTGATCTGATTTGTTTTGATTAACAATGTTATCATGGATTATTGGAGCTTGAATGCAGTCTGCAAAATGACTATAATTCAATATTATATAACATTCAGGAAACTTGACATTATCATTGACATTGCTATAGAGAAAGGTTTTCAGACCCATCAAGAACAAATCTGTCACTATTTTGATGACATTATGTCAATCTCAATCTCTCCTATCTTGTATATGTAACATAAAAATTCTGGTCTGTGTCTTTTATCTGTCCTGGAAGGAAATCAAAGACATCATAGTTTATGTTTAATAGTAGGATTTTACTTTGTGTATCGCAAATCAAATGCATGACCTACATAGAGATCAAACTGTTAATACGCTTACAAAAAATTCCAAAATACAGAAGGAAATAATGTCTGTGAAATTTGTTTCTTCTAGATATTTTGCAACAAAAATATATACACCAATTAATTCTATTAGTTAAAGAATGTTTTTGATCATAAGGGCCATCTTCAATAAAAATGTCAATTGCTAGAACTGTAAATTCTTTGCTACAATCTTTTTTTTAAGGGTGGGGAACAATCATGTTAAAAACGTCAAAGGAAATGCAAATCACAGTTCATATCATGGAAAGTCCAAAATGTGCTTCTCAACAACCAAACTATTTTGCTCTACTCTTGGACAAATAGGTAGGATGTCAAGGCCTTGGAGAAGCTGCAAAGAGATTTACCAGAATGATACAGGGACAAGAGATTTCAGTTATATGGAGACTATATTGTGCTCATGGTCACCTCGCCCCTCCCTCATTCCCTGGGTCATGGTCAGACTCTGCCACTGTTAAGCGCTCCGGGACGCAACCTCGCGTGAAGGGCACTTTATAAATGCAAGTTGTTGTTGAC